AATCTGCAGCGTAATCTAAGAGAGCAGACAGCGGGAGCGAATTTGGTATTTTATACTATGTAGGAAGATAGTGTTAACCATTAAGAAGAAGAAGTTAAACAGTAGGTATGGTAACATATTTATTTTGCACATTCGGTGAAACAATGGCGCTGCATGGTGCGGTCATACTAGAGAACTATGAACAATCGGACTGTTACTTACTTTGTCTAGGGGTAATAAAGTTATATCGAATAGAAATCAATAGACATAGCGAACGTTACATTATTTAGAGAGACGGATCTTGTTTTACATCCAGAGCACGTATGGTTAACACTAGAAAGGCCGCCGTCCCATTTTTGTCCCACTCACGAGTTTGATCGTCTCTTACTTTTTTATTTTTCAACGAAAGTCCATGAAACTTTTTGACTTTTCCTGATTTATTGAATTTTATCATTTTTTAATGTTTTTGATGATATAACATTATTAGAAAAAAAATTAAAATCGGTTTTACCTAGAAGCGCCACTGGGTCATTTTTGTCCCACCTTGGTATTTGCAACAATAATTCGATGAAAACTCCTTGTTTCGAGGAAAAACGAGAATGGGGAGGTGAGGAACGTTTAGGTGACTCGTAACAATGCAGAAATGTAATTAAATTGTACTAGTTGTTGCCTGTGACTTCACCTAGTGAGAAATTAAGTTTATCATAGAAAGACCTAATTTCTTGACACTTATCGTTGTTATTTGACCAAATAACTGAATATTATTGTTCATTATAGACTATATTATGTTATTCTGAAATATTAACAATAAAACTGCAAAGTTTTATGAAGATCGGCTTAGTATTTTTTGCGTAAAAGAGTGAAAAAACAACAATCGATCTAACCATGAATCCACACTCACTTAGTTCAAGTTCAAGGCTTATATCCACCCATTCATCCTTCCTATCCGTTCATCGGTTCATCCATCCATCAATTCATCAATCTTTATTAACTTTTACATTTATAATTTAGTAGGAAGGTGACTTCAAGACATGGGCCAGTTCATACATTGTATGATTTGATACATTTTTAAAATGTGTGACTTATATATCTTTTTAAAATTAAACGTACATACTTTTCATTGTAACTGGTAAAAAACTTCACAGTGTGTGTACGGATAACAGAAAAATAACCATACCTATAGAAGTTCCTAAACATATAGTAGACCAGAGAGACAAAAAAACCATACAAAAAAACTTTGTGCAAAATGTGCACTATTATTTGTAAGATATTTATTATTTATTCAAAAAGAATAATGAATAGTTAAATTAGTAATTTCATAATTTTAATACAGTATAACACCATGTAATAAGTGACTATTTTTATATGAAACCAAAAATATCTGTCCTTTAATAATTCAAAATTAAAATTGAATACATTTATATTTTTAAAGAAATAAGTACATATTGATTTAACTGTATAGATAAACCATTTTTTAAGGATACTACAAATAGTTTTAACCATAATGTTCATGCCTGAAACTAAAAAATGTTACAAAATATATGCTGGGACAAAATTGACCCAGCGGCACTTTTAGGGGGGTCGTAATCTTCGGCACTTCTAGTGTTAACTTGCTGGTTGACATCTAGGGTGCTAGGCCAACAATACTTCAACAGCCAAACCGTGCAACCGTTAAATTAAAAGTAGCTCCAAACCAAATACGTCTGCGTTTTAATAAAGACGTCGACAAACTTTATTAAGTTACTAATGCCTCAACTAATTACCTCCGTAATGACGATCCGACTTAAGGGTGCAGTCACACTGTAACGAGAAAATTATACGACGACTTAGCGGCCTTAATAAAAATTTGTTCGTCGGAGTAAAACTAATGGTTTCGTTCGAGGAGCTAAGTATTATATTGTCTAGGGTACATTGTAATGGGGAAACATTAAAAGTTGTAGTTATGAAAGGGAGAAGGAATAAAATGACAGACACCTAACTACACTGGGCTTACTAAAATTGGAGCTAATTTTTTTAACTGGTGCTGCTTTTAGATATTTCTTTTCACCTGATGGTAAAGTCAGCATGAAAGCGAGCTTCACCCGAAACCCTCAACTTGAGAGAAACTGACTATCGTACTTACTCCCAACTGTTGAAACTCAAACAATATTGTTAGCATAGCATTGTAGCTAGCTAGACGGACTTAGGAACAAACTCCACCTAAAAAATATTTTACCCCCCAACCCCCCAATCCCAATACACAGCTAAATTAGTTTTAAAAATAATCATCGATTTTCTAATACCTAAGCTAAACTCATCGTCAAGAAAAAAGTTACCTAACTTCCTTCGACCTGACGTTTACCACAGCTTATAAAATAAAGTTCACATGACCGCAGATTTGGTACAGCTCGTATTTAACTCGCGAGATGGCGCGATACCGCGGGCGTGTTCCTTACGATTTAATTCAAGAACGCAGCTTTGATATGCCGACTGCGCCGGCGCATGTTAACCACGCTTTGAAAAGTTCGCGGATTTTATCAAAGGATGTACTTATAGCATTGTTTTTGATCATGTGTTTAAATGTGTGTGAACGGATCCTTGCCTTTTATTGTCTAACGGAAGTAACTTTAACAGTTTGGGTTTCAGTCAAAGCTATTTACGTATGTATTCTGATATTAAGTAAGATAAGTCGTATGTTTTATGAACAGGGATATGAATATAGAGCTACTTCGCTTTGCATGTCACAACTACAATAAGAACTTTTGGTTGTTTACTTTATGTCTATCATTTTCAAATTCTTGTGATAAGTGTAAGTAATACTAACTTGAATTTCGAGTAACTTCTGATCGATTCATTAAACGAAATGTCCTAAATAAATTAATTCTTACATTGGAAAGATTATTGTTTTTAAAAGTTTGCGTTTTAATAGGGCGACAACTAAGTATGACATTATTTTTATAGATTTATCGTCTTTAGTGCTGGTTCACAATTAGCGTGTGTTATAGTGCGAATATTTTAATTAATAGAGTCCGCAAAATTCGATATTTAGGCTGAGTTGCACCACCCAACTTTGACGGTACACCCACACAACCACACAACTATAACCGGTGTTTTTTATCCATACAAACGTCAAAAATCTGTCAAACTATGGAGTTTTTCAAAGTTAAAGTAAGATGGTGCAACCCAGCCTTAGATTAATTTGTTTCTACGCTTTCCATTGTTTCTATTCGAATTTCGAAAATGATGTAACGTTTTCCCAATCGAAAGTGACACTACATCATCAGATATGTCCATAATTCGGAGCGCAAGGACAGCTAACGATCGTGACGGGTAGTCGTGACGTCGGACATGCAAACAGACGTGGAACCACGAACGCAATGTTATTTACGATTTTATAACGCGATGAAACGCCGTCACGAAAATGTGACGTCATGAACACGAGCGACAGTCGCTAGTCGGTTGTTTTTGTAATTTAGGCAATCTGATTAAGGTTTAGATGTGGTCTATGATCTCGATTAAAAGTTGCGAATTTTATTGTATTTTTTCAAGTTTATGTGGAACATAATTCAATATAATGATTATGCTTTTATTTAAAAACTTACACATCCTATGAATTAAATTCATAACATAGTTAAAGATTTTGAACATACGAGTACTTATTTACATAACACCATCAAAATAAAAAAATGCCCTAAAATCTTTACTACCTAAATGCAATAGGTAGGTAGGTGTAATGAGACCAGACTCTCAATATCCGTCAAATGAAGCTAAGCTCCAGCTTGATCTAACATAAGTTTCATTGACTTCAGCATCAAGTAAAACAAACAATACTTATAGCTAGAGCCGATAGAAATGATTGCCTGACTAGATAACCTCATGAGTCTCTTTAGAATCTAAATTTTAAGATGTTTCATTATACCTACTTCCCAGTACAGGGATTTGTAATTTAAATGTTTCCATTACCACAGGCACAGAACGTGAACCCTGCTACCGGCTTCGATCCGTCATGCGATCGTATCGCGAGGAGTCGGGTTACGTGCGCGCACGCAGACTGCTTTATATGACGGCTAGCTACCCTCGGATTCGTATGAATGGGATGATTTAATGTCTTTATTGTCTTGTTGACTAAGAGACAGGCGTGAAAGCTTGTTTAAAAGTTTTGTCTGGTGTAAAATAAACATAATATCGATGATGAAGAACAAGCTCTAAAAGCTCAAATATGGTCATTTAAGAAAAGCATATAATTTTAGCAAGCATATAAATAAAAGAAAAAGTAAGAATTACTTATTCGGTTGTTATAAACTTCATTTTAGGATAAGGGATTTTGAGTTCAAACTCACAATAGTTTGCTTATAGAACGCCATAGTAACTAAGTATCTAGGTATTAGGTAATCTGTAACGACGCCAACCTTTCCACCGACATCTAGGGGTTTAGTTAAAGATCTCATTCAAGTAAAATGGAAAAATTTCCTTTAGGTAGGTACCAATAAGTGCGACTTATCCACTTCCATATTTTTACAAGTCCTGACGTCTACCGACATCGACACTCACACTATCATTGTGAGGATGTCTCTCTACTGCACCACGCGTCAGCTAATTTGCATTGAATATCCTTGCATATTAGGATACGCTTTACAATGCAGATAAACTTGCAGTATTTGCCTTGAAGTACAAAAATACTCGCACACAAATTTTCTACTTAGTTAATTGTGCCGTTAGAAAGAAAAAATAAATGTTTATAATTGTTTTCCTAAATAAATAAAAAAAAGATCTTTGAAATACTTATTAGTTAAAATTCATACTGTTTTATTAATAATTACGCGCAGTTTAACCAGCTGCTATTAATAGCAGCCGGTTAAACTGCGCGTAAAGTCCTGGGTTTTCTAAAAGCGGTCAAACTTTAGTTAAAGACATTCTGTCTGAATCATACCGTTCCAACTTATTTTATGCTAACTTAATTTGGCATAAAGGAAACCTTCATGCATTCTGTGTACGTTTTCTTTTATTGGATTTTTTGTAATGTCATCCATTCTTTGTTCCAGGTGCCCAGAGCAGAAGAACGCCGGCAGGGCTGGCGATGGACCTGTTCGAGCAGCATCAAGGCACACACATACTCCAGGTATACATCCATTGTCATCATCAGATATTTAGTATCTAATGCAGGAGCAGGACCATCCCTATTTTGCAAGTACAATCTTTGGATGGCGCCTTATTTTGGATACGGGACTTTTCTGCTCTGTGATTTGAGTGAAGAGAATAAAACCATTTTAATCCTCAATAAGGAAAAACTAAATAATGCTATGGATAGGTACAGTCAGCGTCAAATAGTTCGTGATCGTGACACCCAAAATAGAAAAAAGTTCGCAACACGTCTCATAAGATTGTGTTCTCAACTTTGTGGCCACTTTTGGTGTCACGAATCATTTGACGCTGAATATACACTGATTAAACAAGTCAGTTCAACAATTTTATGCAAAATCATGTACCTAGCCATTCTAAGGATCGTTTTGGGTTAAAAACCAGTTAATAAGCGAAGAAAAAATAAATCTACTAAAACAATGACGCACGGCTGGTCCGGTTTGGTTTACTTGAACAGTTAGGTATTACTATCGACATAACACTTTATATTCCGTTTTCCGGCTGTTTCAGTCTCAAATTATTTTATACCTACCTAAAACATGAATTGACTCTATGTATTTAAGAAAAACCTTAATAACCTAAGGTAGAAAACTGTCATGAGATTCTACAATCAATCTACCATGTGGCAGTTACGATTTTTTAGTAAGCAAATAGCTGCTAAGTATATATGTCGCAGGCAAATTGTATGATTCCGCATTTTACAAACGGCGTCGTCAGTTTACAAACGCTCGCTGTTCTATGAAATGCCGAAGGCAAATTGGCGACTCGTTCAATTGATAAAATTTCGACTATGATTGTTGCAATAGGGTGACCATCATAAAACACATGTAGGACAAATCAGACTTAATTTCAGTAATCAGGTAGGTATCTATTCAGGTAAGACAAACCTAAAATACTAGCTACTCTTAAAGTAATTAAAATATTTTCGTAATAAAAACAACACTAAACTAATTTAAACTATTGACGTACCTATAGGTAGGTACATAAAACTATGACATAAAATAAGTTTCGATAGTCAATCCTTTAATTAAGTCTTACATTTTAATTATACCTACCTAGAAGAAGTCTAGAAGACAACACAATATTTTTTTAAACCAATAATATTCCGCAGCAGTCCTCCACCAGTCCGAGCACCAGATTCCATTGTCACCTTAGCGTTTTTTACGTGCCGGATAACCTCAAAAACTATTTCATTTTTCCATAGCTTTTTCACTGCCTCCTATTTGTGAATCGTAAAATATTTTTAATTCACTAAGTATAATAAATGTCTTTTTTTGTGAAAAGTCCTTTGAATACGTAGAATTTGCACTGTTTTCTGTATCACAACACCACGACTCGACGCCATTTTTCTTGTTTTGATTAGCAGCGCCTCGCGTGGTAAGAAAAAGAACTAAATACTTCAATTTGCCGCGGCATTTTGTAAACAGCAATTGAATTGGCTATCAAATGTTTTGGCATATTATAAAGTGCCCAGGCAATTTACATTTTGCCTTCGGCATTTCATAGAGCAGCGAGCGTTTGTGAACTGACGACGCCGTTTGTAAAATGCGGAATCATACAATTTGCCTGCGACATATACATCGTGTCACCACAAACCGCGTGTCACTGAGAGGATTTGCCAACTTCCAGAATCAAGAGTCACTGTGACATTGAAACTAGTTACAATCAAATGTGTTTACTTTCATCGTGCCGACAAAAAGCCGGCCCGCCGAACTTGACTTGCATTACGCAACTCCGACCGACTTCACGCTTTTTATTACAAAACTACAATAGCATACGTACAATAGAACACTGTGACACATACATTTACGACACTCCAATCTGATATTTCGCCGGTTTCACTAAATTTCATAACAAAAATTAATCAAACACACATTTTCTGGGGCATTGATAGTTTTGATAGGGTTAACCGAAAAAAAAATCTATTATACTGTCATTCGATCACGTAAATTATCATTTGTGCAATCGGTAACTGTCATTATGTGGGTGCTGCGGTTTCTATTCCGAGCTGAAAATGGTGGAGTACGTGATTCCTTGCTTCGATTTGTTTTTTGCGAGTGCAACACTTTGCGGGACAAATAGTACGATTTGTCGGAAAAAATAAGGACGTGCGTGTAGGAACGCGATGTTTGCGAAAACGGCATTGAAGTTATCTCTTTGTCTGAGTTATAAATATAACGAAAATTGCACGTGGTCGACTAAAGCTAGCGCGGGAAGGCCGTTGCTCTACCAACTACGATAAAGTTGAAAAAGCTTAAAGGCAGTCTGGGATTTGGCGTTACCTTAAGAAGCGAACTTACGAATATTTTCATGAATGTTACTTGTTGATCCTATAGCCTAATTAAAACTTCATCAAAAACAAAGATGATAATGATGCTTATGATAAGTGAATAATCGTTTACATTCTAAATTATGAACTAATAACTTCTAAATTACATTAATGTTGTAAAAATACCTTGTAATCCAGTAATAAAGGCTTATATTATTATTATTATTAACTTCTAAATAAGACCACATTTGCTTTAGCAAATGTGGTGAAGATGACCCAAGTATTATGATCCATTCAACTACCCATTAGGGGCCGTCCATATATTACGTCATTCTANTACATGTATTATACATATAAATCTTCCTTAAGAATCACTCTATCTATTAAAAAAAAAAAAGGTGATTCTACAAGTGTTTTAATTTTGTCAAACTGGTAATGACGTCAATTTTGGGAGATGGGGGGGGGGTCATTAAGAAATGACGCTAGGATGATTGTAGGGGGGGGGTCTAAAATCTGAAAAAATCGATGACGTAATTTATGGACGGCCCCTTATAACGTCAAACCTAACAAAATGTAAACTTCACTTCAACACCAAAAAAGTAGAAAACAACAATTTTATTATTTTCATGTCGAACACCTACTTAAAATGTTGATAGGAACCCAAACTAGGTCCACGTACTCCGTAAATAAATAAATAAAACACTGTGAACCATCAACAATAGTAGTAATCCATATTTTTTTTACTAGCTATCATCTCGTACCGATTAAACGCAAATTTTGTTATAAAAAATAAATCATCTCCAAGATGTATTTTGTCAACCGTGCATCTCATTAAAATTTGAGATAGAGCGACGCAGACCTAAAGTCGATTGACTCGACCTAGAAGTGACAAGTTTTAGATTCTGATTAGCTTTTACGATAGGTAGACAAATCAAAAGAAAGAAAAGTTTTTTTATTTGGCACTTTATAGAAAAATCATTTTTAAATAATTAGTAGATTGTTTATTTTAATGTAACGTTCTTTATGTTGCTTTTCACTTTATGCCTTTTCTTTGAGCAATGTTTATATTAGTACAATACAAAATTTGAGCTTCCAATTTGAAAACATTTGTAAACCAAAACGTTCGTTACAATTCCTAAAAATAAAATTAGTCAATTACAAAAGCTTCTACTTTTGAGAAACTTAAGTTATTTAAAAGTTCTTGTCTTTTCTAGAGGCGCTATATCAAGTTGGTTATTTTGGCTCGTGGTGATCGTTTTTCGTCATCATCGTTCTATTTATTTACGTTTTTTAAGTCCAATAGAAAATTGATGCCAGATGCAGAGCTAGCTATTAGTTTCACCTTGTGTATCGTTTGCAAAACAAAGTTTTAACTTTTTCCTCATTATTAGGTACCTGATTGAAAAACTGCTACACTTTACTTATTGATTTGATTTCTAAACGATCAGATTAACATTATTTTTTTTTAAATATAATTTTTTCATTGCTTTACCTACATTATTATTGTTAGGAACGTACCTAATGAGCTTGAAAAGCTAATTTTAAACTTTCATTATTTTGTATTTTTCTTTATCTTCTTTTAATACTCTAAAATTAGTTTTAATGATGATTAAAATAATATACAGGCAGTTGGCAAATACTTTTTTTAAGCAGAACAAGGTTGACCGCAATCACACCAGCTGTTAATGTGCATAAGTCCGTTTAAAGTCAGAGGTATTATTTGTCAATTGCCTGTAAAATTAAAAAAAATAGTTCATTAATACTTGTTTTCCCGACCATACCGATCCGAGTTATAGACACGGCGGCGCTTGCGCTTGAAACGCTGCTGGTTCCAAATTCAAATGGTTTGTTTTTTGTCCACAGTCCCTCGACGGATTCGCGCTGTCGGTAGCGGCCGATGGCAGGTTCCTGTACATATCTGAAACTGTATCTATATATTTAGGATTATCACAAGTAAGTATACTTCATTTAATTTTTTCTACCTGGATTTAAGTACAGTCAGCGACAAATAGTTCGTGACACCCAAAGTAGCCAAAAAGTTCGCAACACGTCTTTGTTACAATTGGAATAAGCTTGTGTTGTCAACTTTTTGACTACTATAGATGTCACGAACTATAATTTGACGCTGCTGTACCTACCTAGTCATATTGTTACACGTTTTTAGATCGTGGGCCAAATTGTTTAACTCAACTGCTTAGTCCCGTTAACCCCTCGTACTAAGCTAAATATGATTGTATTACGAGTAGGTTCATCACATTATACGAGCAGTGGCCGGGTTTGAACCCGCGTTCCTCGGATGTCTATTCGGCCAGTCCGACCCCTTCACCTTTCGGCTATCGTGACTTTGATAGCCAGTTTGCTGCCTATAATCTTAAATTTTTGCATCATAAGGCACTCTTGCGACCTTACCAAATTCAGTCCATCAATACTTCCCAGTGGAAGACAAATCTCTCTGTATTGCCACAAATTACCCGCGACAGTCGTCGTAAAGTCGAGGACGCACGGCACTGCGGCAAACTTTATGTGGGTAGGTGCTGATTTCATGGACCCAATAAATACTACTGGGATCTGGAAATATTTCGAGAGGATACGAAGCACGTAATAATCTGAGTGACATTGCTGGTCTTGATCCTGGCTCACATCTATCGCCATTTTATCATAATAATAGTGAGAAAGATCCAAACACCAAACACCTTTGGTGGACCTTAGAAAACTTGCAAACTATATGAGTTCATTGTACTGCTTTTATCAGCATGAATCGCATACTTTTATTAGCACATGTATAAAAATATCACAAATGCTTTGAATGTTTTTACCCACGCTGGCAAAGTTGATATCCTCGAAAAAGAAATGTACCTAGTTCAAATTGTCTCAACAAAAGTGCATATCGTGTAAATTACATGCCCATTTACAGACACCTACACAGATTGTCGATAGTGAGTTAGTAACGTACGTACATTCATGAAGCACGCTCACATTCACGCGGTAGAGACGATAGAGTCAGACGATGTAATCTGAAATTTTCGGCGGCGCTAGAAAGACATCCGGTGGTAACTGCATCAGATCGCAGATAAGTCCTTCTACACGTGTTGTGTTATGCCTTCTACGTGGCCTGGGTAAGACGAGGTTTTTTCCCGACCCCGATCTTTAAAGGGTACGTTTCTCGAGAAGTAACCCTTTTGTTTTAGAGTTATGATATGATTTGTGACAGGTATCTCGGATTTCTCGTTCGTTAGTTTAAAAATTGTCGCTAAACAGAGGAAAAAAAAAGGTTTTTTAAATAGGATAACACCGAATGTAAGATTAACGTTCCAGCCTCATGCTACAAATAAATTCAAGTAAAATCTGAAACTCACCGATAAACTCAAAAAATTCCTTCATCCAAACGGAATTAAAATAACATTGCAAAATTAAAAGGCGCTCTGAAAAGATCCGAAAACTGGGAAATTCTCGTTTCCAACATGGCTGCAGGCTTCGGGGGTGGTGTGACGGAGACGGAAAATGGGGGGAAAGGGACGATGCGATATGCCGGTCACGTCCCGGGCAAGGCGCGCGCGTGCTCCTCATCCTAATGCCGCTGCCAACCTTACCACTCACACACCCCCGGCCCACGCACACAAACCCGAAACATCATCGAAACACTAATCTCAAACACACACCAACCCATAATTCTTCTTCACAGACACATGCCTGTGTGTGTACACATATAAAATACATAAACTTCCTGGTAAATAAGCGTAGATACAACTTTCTTATAAGTAAGGCCTGTGTTAGATGCTCCTGCTATATTAAATTCTGTTGCGGCCATTTTTTCGGGGTCCGCCGTAAAGACTGATGATAACACCGACAATGGAAAATCATATTTTTCTTTTATAGATAAAAGGAAGAAAATGGATACTTTATTTTTTGTTTTGATGTGCCTGAATGGCTTCGGGAAATTATTTACGTGTAGCTTTTTGTGCGCGCCCCAGTGAGATTAGGGGATTTCATTGGATATTTTAGAATTTGTTACAACTTGAAATATTATGTTTATTGAATTTGAACAATTATAGCTAAAACTCAATGTTTATTCTTCAAAGCCAGCAAACAAGCCAATAATCTTCTTGCAGACTTGGACAAGACATCTAACTTGCCACATATTTCCCCGAATAATTATGAATTTTAATCATAAGGAACTTTTATCAATATACCAAATTTCATTGACTTGAAAAGCAGTGTTAGACAGATGCCAAAATCACATGCAGTTTCGTAACAGAATTGGAAAATCCTTCAGCTTGGTAATTATGAGGAAAATTGGCATGAAGCTTTAATCCCAACTCCTGTCAGCACACCATAATCTGTGGCTCACCATCAGATCGGTAAACACCATAAAATTGTTGGTATCATTCCGGGAAAAGACCACCATAACATACCCATTGTTCGTGTCCTCTTCATGCGTGCGACGTCCGCGGATACACGTCGTTTGAATCTGTAATAGGGTCCCACAATTATATTTGATAAATTTATTTAAAAGACATTTGCATAAGCCGTGAAAGGGTCAGTGTGAAAGTATTCTTAGATTTAGGTTTATTACGTTCCTGTTGTGCTTTATAAGTTCGACTTATTGATGCATGTTGTTCGTTGATAGTCAACATAATGAAATTGCAATGTCTTATGTCACTCACCTTCAATTGATCTGAAACATCATCTCGGGTTGGATATTTTGAATTAAGGAAAATAACTTTATTGTTATTTGTACTATTTTTGATCATTATAAGCTCCCATATCACTACTTTCTTTATTCCTACGTAATTCTTGTTTTTCCTATCTGAAATATCCTGTTCAGATTTAAGTTCTTCTCACAATACTTATTAATACATCACTAGGCGTCTAATAAACTTTAGCTTTATTCTTATCTGCGAGTCTAAGCAGAGCCGCAATTAAGTTACCGTTAGCGCCAGAGTGTTTTCAACAATTTTCTGAACAGTAATGCTGATGCAAATTATATTCCACGTTTCATCTTTAAACCAATGCAATAAGGTTGAGAATCAGATTGCGGTTGTACCACTTGACTAGACTACTCGTACCAACGTTGTTTCATTACTTGGGGTTTATAGGTGTTTCTATGAACCCACCTGCTATGCGATGCTTGATAACAGCCCGTTCATTCATAACTATGCTGGTACGTGACGAGTTATCTGTCTGCGACTGCGCCAGCGCAGCTTGTTAAGTGGCATGTGAATTAACATACATAGAAATACGTTGCGGAGCCAATGCTCTATGAAAAATACTGAAATTCTTAGAGTTCAGCCTTAGAGTTAGTAAAATAACGCCTTGGTTGTCACTAGGAGTGTGTGGATTCCCTCCCCGTCTATTACAAAAAGTTAAACTCTAGTTTAAATTCCCATTTAGTATGGATGTGTTCATTCTGGGTTTAACTTTTTTATAATAAGGCCCAAGGAGTCCTATTGAATAGCAATCCCTATATTGTATACCTACTATAATAAAATTCCTAAAGAGTGGACTTTGCTCAAATACTAGTGGTTGTGTTTTAATAAAGATCTTTCTATAAGAAAAAATATATCAAACTTTAAACGTCCTCTTTCATCCCCCAGGTAGAAATGACCGGGAGTAGTATATTCGACTACGTCCACCAAGCGGACCACGCCGAGATCGCGGAGCAACTGGGACTGTCCCTCGCGGGTAGGACCGGAGGGACCGGCCTGAACAGCCCTGCTTCGGGCAGCGAAGAGGGCAGCCAGCACGGCACCAATAACCCTGATGGTAAGTTTGGAATAGGCTTAGAAGTTATTGCCCAAGATAGGCAGTAGGGAGAGACGATTGCTCATAAGTTAAAAATAATTATTTGAGAAAATTAAAAAGGAAAGTCCTTGTCACATGTCTGGCTTTTTTGTGTATAACTATTGGAGCATAGAAATATCCAGGTTAAATCGAAAGAACGACTGTTAAACAAATGGAAATAAAGACATGTTTATTTCCATTTTCAACAATTGTTTTGCCGCTCTCTCAAATATATTTCAAAAGCAGCCAAAAACCACTTTCTATCGGCCACTCCGTTACTCATTTAGGTGCTCATTTTTTCGAGAAAAAGACGACAACCCAACTCTTGCCACAAAAAAGAAAAACAGTTCAGAATTCAATTAAAATTTCCTTATTTCGCGGCCATTGCACCTTCCTCATTCGGCGACAGTACCGATCCTAACATTTCACTCGGTATATCGAATCATTCAATATCAGCCAGTAATAAGTAGTTGTACGATTCGAAATTAGATTATGGAGTCTTCACGGCGCGTTGGGAGCTTATGAAACGGTCAATGGGGTGTCAGACGCCGCCATTGTCACCACTGATTAATATTTAATTTCACCGCTATGGGAATTCTTTGATGTTTATTGAAAATTTGGCGCCACTGCGTACATAATGTAAGGTAGGGCGCTGCCAGGGCGACTATAATCGGCGATCCGAACGGAACTTTCATTGACCAGACCAAATGGGTGCCGACCGAGTTCAATTAAACGCCTAGATAAGCAAAAAAGTCATTCGAATATAATATTACTGTCAAATCATTTATCTCTCGGTTCACTGCATCCGTAGTTTTTATTGTTTGTGGTTATAATTTAAACGTTGCGTAGTAAAACTAGTTTAAAACCACACACTTTTATTACTTTTGCTAAATATTAACTTTGAATTCCGAGTGAAACTTGATGATTGTTGTTCTACTATTTCTGGCGTATGTAGTGTGGTTTAATAAATTACTTCTTGAAATGGTACTATTGATTTATAGAAAAACGAAATAATCCAAATCCCCAGCATCCGAACCCATTTGACCTAGTTTTTTCCCAACCTAACGGAGAGCCCGCTTCTAATTTACTAACATGAATACTTTAAGGGCTAGAATCGATTTCAATTTACCGATCGTTGAAAAAGTATCGATAAAAAATCAATCAGGATCGAGATAGTGTGACAAGTAGCTCATTGTGTGGAGACAGGCATGGTGAATAAGTCACAGAACAGTGGTCCGTGGAGAAGTTGTGCCATTGTGGCCTGATAGCCGTGCATTTGAAGGAATTGGTGCTGTGTTGACAGGAGATTGATCGATGCCAGTGGCACCTAAAGTTGTTAAACTGCTGATTAGTTAAATTTTTGGACTGAGAGGCTTAAGAAAAGATCTTGCTTTTTTATTTAGTGGTCCAAATACTTTAAGGTTTAAATACGACGAAATTAGTAGAATCTCTCACTCGAATCTTGCAATGATGCTGTGGATTTGCTGATTTAGATTAGGTACTTTAATGCAAGGCAGGTGTAAATGAGTTATAACCTACCAAATAAATATTTATTTATTCAAATTAAATTGGACACTAAAAATTCCAGTTAAAGATCACTGAGAAAATGTCAATCGACCATTGTTTTAGGATTTTACGAAAATGACAATAAATTCCGAAAACCCAAAGTCACCTTTTGTGTTGTAATAAAAACCACCGCCAAGGCTACTGGAATAGTTTGGTACTGACTCAGTATTACGTACTCGGTACAAAGGCGTGATTCAACTGCACACATTGTCCAGTGCCCGGTAGAAATTGAGTAGGTACATACTAACGAGGCTTAATGTATGCGCATCTTGAGGATTTTATGTTAAATTGCAAAGGACGAGATAAACAATTAAGGTAACTCGGTGTAACGATGTTAAATATTCGTATCAGAAACATAAATTTTCCAATAAAGTCTAAAGTTTTGGTACCTCTGTCGAATATCTCAAAATCACGGAGTCCACTACGAAATCAATTAGAGCGTGATGTTGATCTGACATTCGAAGTTCCGAGGCCCATAGATCTTTTAATTTATCAGCCTCCAATCATTATTCTTAGCCTGATCGTCCGCAAAAAGCGTGTAAAATTGATTTTTAACTATTTTACACATTTTGGGGCTAAATTGTAGATTATTGCTGCCAACTGCACTATTAACCAAGTTGCTCGAATCAAAAATCAACAATTTGATAGTAGCGATAGAAGCAAATAGGTTACTAATAAAATTTTGAATTTCCCAAATAGTATCATCGCAAATGAGCCTTGCGGCCAGCGGGGCGCTCTACCGGGGAATGGACCGGGCGTTCTGCGTGAGGATGAAGAGCACGCTAACGAAGAGAGGGTGCCATTTCAAGTCTTCAGGATACAGGGTAAGAAATTGTATACAATCGAAACTAGTAAAGTTTTAGCTGAACACCAAAAAATATATTAATCAATTTTCCAAACGATTTCAATTTTCGGTGTTGATGAACTGTGATTGGAAAGTAGTGACTATAAAATTATGTGTTCAGCTGAAATTTTACATGTTCTCTAAAGAAAATAACAATTAGACTAGACGTGATGACGTTTTATAAAACATTATTACGAATATGGGGCTGATCCTTCAAATTGAAAATACTGTCTCCTAATTCTTTATCAATTCCCAACAACACATTATTTTTTCAAGAATCATTATTAGTAATTAATCATGAAAATATCTGTGGACATAATTTCTTCTTATCTAGTATTTGAGAAATGAATGGTCGCTGAATTTTCATTTTTAATCTAGGTTGGAAGAGGCAAGGAGGGTGAGCCATCAAGATATGGAGAGAGTGGTAACTGGCGGGTGGGTATCTTAGAAACGAGTGTTTTACAAAGGAAGCAAAATTATTTATGACCCTTTCCGATAAATCGTGATTTATTTTCAGTTGCATAATGACGCCGATTTGGAGATGTTCTACAATCATAAAATTATTACCATATTAGATTCATGTAAAGCATTTGGTATCGCTTTTACGATGTATGAATTACTTTTTATGATCCTGCGGTCATTTTCACTGTTATGTTTATAGCAAAATGAATTCGTACGACCTCTTTATACGTGTGAGATCACAAATATTATTGGCTAGAGTTATTGTATTGCAGGGGTGCCGCAGGGCACAGCCCTGGTCATAATTTTTGCCTTAACTCGGTGTTAGGCAATAAAGTGCGATTATATCTCAAGCGACTTGCGAATTTCTTACTAGGTGCGTAAAATTGCTCGTAATAGATTGTTTTCGGGGTGTACATTTTGGTTTTTATTTTAAAAGCGTTTTGTGGGCACTTTCCTTAAAATGATTTATAAACATAGGTAGGTACCTCATTTTTTTCTGTACAAAGAATGAATTCACATGAATAGCTAAATGATTTTTAATACATTCATCTAAATTAAAAAAAAGTCTTTAGCGAGATATAATCCGGAAAATGGATAGGAAAAGTTGCGATTCAGTCCACATAATTTTACTCTACATGAAATAAGGTAGTTTAAGTATAAATCTTGAAATTAAACCCATAATTCCCTGCTATCTCCATCTAAATGGCTCATACAATTCTCGCGAGTATCGACTGAGCAATTAATACGGTCATTATTACTCCAAAGCGCAGGCGACGCCCGCAGCGAGCGTTTTATTGGGAAAATTTCGAATTAGCTCATCTTTCATTTGATCTCTGCAGTCGATTACCTTAGAATATATCTACGTGACTTCTGCAGTTTCCAAACAAACGAATGAGCTTTGCAACTTCATCTTTCTTATATGAAACACGTAGCAGTTTTGCACTAGGTGCGAGAATGATTCGGAAAGTTTTAACGAGATTTTTTATTACTTCTACTCCAAGGCTGGCTTTGTGTCTTTGGCTTTGACGACGAATAAAATTTAAGGCACGTGCAATGACTTTAGTGGGATCCTCTTTCCTCGAATTCTATAATGATTTAGACATTAAATAATAAACAATACAGAAGGAAAAGTCGCGTTTGGACCAGTTACCATTTTGAGAGATTTATTCATTATCACTGTACTCGTAGATAATTATGTAGGTAGGAATAATTCATGAATTTTCTTTTTACGAAAATAAGCAGGACATTTTAAGATTTAGACTCAACCTTCTATCAATGTTTTAAATACCTTTTTCTTCTTTCCAGGTGGTCCTCATGCTCTGCCGCCTTCGGCCGCAGTACTCCTTTTCACACAGTCGGAAGTCTCCAACAGTCCTTCTCGGGATGGTGGCTTTAGCCATCGCACTACCACCCCCTTCAGTCCACGAGATCAGGCTGGAGTCGGATATGTTCGTCACCAGGATCAACTTCGACTTCAGGATAGCGCACTGCGAACCCAGGTATTAGAAACATTAATTAGTTGGGGTCATTAGGGTAGTGCTTTTGGACCAATGTTTTTTGTTCTACTTACATTTTATAATGTCGAAGCACTAGAGATGCCACCTAATTTTGAATTACTAATTAGAAACTGTCTACTTACTTTTACCCTAGAATTATTTATAGCAAAATATTGGACAAATACTCAGTTTTAATCATGTAAGCAAATTGATACATCTGTATTTTTTATACCAGCAGGGTATCGGAGCTTCTTGGGTATACGGCGGAAGAGCTGACGGGGAAGAATCTGTACGCGTTATGCCACGGAGAAGATGCCAACAAACTTAGAAAATGTCACGTAGATTGTAAGTAAAAATTTACGTTTTTTTGTGTGTGAAAACCTAGGTTTTTCCCCAAACACAAATACACAACATGAATCACTGACCTGGCTCTATCATCAATCGTTTAAACGATCACCAATGAATCGCCCACCCATGACCCAATATCACGTGGTGAAATCCTTCGCTGCCTAATGTTGCAACGGATATTTGTATTCAATGTGCACCCTTTAGAAATCCATGTCAAGAGGACTGGCAGCCCAAGGCGCTAGCGACACATTACGAGGAAAATTTATGAGTGCCATGCGTGTTGTTTGTTTCATACTAGGAGTCTTCGGTGAAACATGTCTGTCTTTACAATCATCTGTTGTAGCTAAGCTATATTTTTCAGTCATGATGGTAGTACTTTTTCAGCATTTGCTTGCTGCAGCTATACCTATATCTGAGACAATTTCTGCAGAAAGATGACACTACTTACATGAATTTACACAGTATGAAATTCATTTACACATTAAATTGGAAAATCAAGTTTTAGATCATATTTCCCAAATTCCTTGAACACAAACTTTATATGCGGCGTAGACATGAGCCGTAGATTGAAAGTCGAAATGATTTTCATCTTCGAATAAATAATTTGACATTTCAATCACGCGCCTGGCTTTTAGGTACACGAGTATCGGGAGGAAAATCCCTGTTCAAATAATCTATATATATAATATAATCATAGTCTCGTATACACGGATATTATTACTTTTCCACGCATTCGTCAGTGAAATACAATTTAGGCCCAACGCTATGCGACGGTACCGCCGAGTTGTGATTTGAATAATAATTTTTATATCATCATTTTGGTTTCCTTTCCCCAGGCATACGTGGGAAATGTCAGCCTTAATGTCCTTTGAGATAGCTTTGTTAGTACTGTCGTGCTTTATGCCTATTTTACTACTTTGCGTGGTTTGCCGAGCCGAGTGTTAATTTAAAAGTAGCCATGCTTTTGTTTCGGGATTTTCGTTCTTACTTTTGCACGGAGAGGCATTTGTGGTAGATTCTTAATCTAATAAGATTTCTTAATCTAATAGCATCTAACATTTATTTTCCTTAATCTACAGTAATATAAGATAGAGGTATCATCTTCATGATCATGATCAGTGTAAGGCCGTGACGTGATGGCTTCACAAAACTGTTCCCACCACTGCGACTCCATTTAATCCGAATCATTGGCCGTAAAACTTTAGATTCTTCAAAAAGCTAAAACAGTCGTTCCATGAATGAACATCTTCTGACGTAACGATCTCTTAGCCAATCAATTCAAATGAATCCAAGATGGCGTCAATTCGAACGCCAATCACGACGCGCTTCACGTCATACGGTTTTTCTCCGGTACTTGTCTGTTGATAGCTTTACGAGACCATTACTTAGCATTGTAAATGTCTATATAGATGCCGGTCAAATGTGGACAATCCGGGTGTAGAATATCAATTGTTTCAATTAACATAAAAGTCCGGGTGTTTGGTAGAAAGCGGGTAATTTGGTTACAGCGTTATACGCGATTCGCTTGCCTGATTAAGTTATTGACGACATTTTGGGCGTATGTATTCAAATTTGTGCATAATGTGATGGTGCTATACGATGATGTTTGGGACTTCCGACAGTGAGGCATTTTTATTGTGTAATGACATACATGATGGATGACGTGACAAGCTTAAAAATACTAAAAGTTAGGTACAAACAGCCAAAATTCGTTCAAAGCTTAGATTTATTCATCTTATCTAGGTACAATTCTATTTCCATTATTGGCAGTCACACTAGCTAACTTATGTATCTCGTACATACACTCAACTTAAGAAACTGTTTCACTGCTAGGGAAATCAAATCGTAAGGAAATTGCGAGAATCAGTAATGACAAGTATCAACAATCACATGATTCTAGCAGAATATTGAAAAAGGATCTCACTTTTTACAACAATCAATGGAATGGACAAGGATTTCAATGCCATCGGAACTTTTAAGCATTAGAACGTATTCATAACGCTGTAACTCAGTTTTACTTAACGGCTGGCTGTCATCCAAACACATCTACGATAAATAATTAATGACAACAATAAACAATACGAAAACAAAACCAAAATCCTCCTTTGCACTAATGACTCACGTAGTACAATACACGTGTTCCTCACTTTGTCTTTTGTGCGTAGAATTTATTGAATATAATGATGGTACACTCAGGGTCAATTAGTTTTTAATCTTGAATTCTTGCAAAATAGGCATTTACTTCAAGGGGGTCTTGGTAATTAATTTTACTACAACAAACTCTCTCTAGAGTTCTCCACAACCCAATTATTAAAACGATTTTTATTACCATCCACGTAAACATTCAGTTTGGTGAAATTTTTAATAGAAGTTATTGTCATCTACATCATCAGTATTATTTCTTTTTCAACGTTTATTTGTTTTCTGTGTAGATTAGACCATTTTATGACCATTTCAGTGAGTTTAATTAATTATATCATCTTTTATGTCTTTAAGCGTGTAATCTTTATCAGTAACTATATTATAGACATTCGTTTTAACGTCGTCCATGTTAACGAGATAGCTTTTTAAAGTTCCAAGTCTATTTTTATTATTTTTATTTGCACTTGATTGTACTGATTGAATTGTATGGTTTGGACAGTGCCATCATGACCCATTGTCCGATTAACATTAATCCCAAGGTCAGCCGAAGACGTTATTGCGATCAGATGCCTAATAGAGACGCCTTCGGTTGGCAACTGTCCTTTTTACTAAGCCACAATAGCAGCACCTATTGTGCAATGAAAGGCTTTGGTAGCTAAATGCTAACATGTGGTGTATCACGTATTCACGTAGGACGTATTTAAGTAAATAGATTAAAATCGAGGAGATCTGCATTAAGATCACAATCTAGCCGATATATGCAAATAAGATGTTCAACGTTTGCGTATATTGAAGCAGTAATCATCTTTAACTAAGAATTTATACATTTGTTTAGCTTGATTCTTTTTGGTGAAAATAATCTAGTTCTAGGTTATGAATATTATAGAGTTGTGATACTTACCTACTCTTCACGATCGTCAAACTCTCGTAACTCTTTCATGCTCTTCATTTCGTATACCCAAAGTACTTAGGTACTTATCAAAAGTAGCGACGTAATCCTAACATAAATTTTCCTTGTTCCAGTAATGAACAAAGGGCAGGTCCTGACGCACTACTACAGGATAATGAACAAGCTGGGCGGTTACACCTGGATGCAGACCTGCGCCACCGTCGTCTGCTCCTCCAAGAACGCGGAGGAGCAGAACATCATCTGCATCAACTACGTCATCAGGTACCTTGGATTTTATACCCTTCTCAACTATGGATTTTGAGTCAAGACATGACACCTTTGTGGAATACAATTGGACCGTTTAAAAAGTCCCTGACATTGGTCCCGAACATTCACAGAATATTAAGGAACTGACACGGTGCATAAACCTTTGTCTTTATGATGCCACAAGTGTTATATCAGAGCTATAAAAAGACCGTGGATTTATTTGTATGCCACACCTTGTCATTGCAGTTAGCAATTGATTAATTTTATTTATCATACATTTGCTGCTTGTAACGCGGGTGACATCACGCCAATCAATTTCAATAACATGTGTTTCATTGCAGTGGTCGAGAATATCCGAACACTGTGATGGACTGCTGCCAGTTAGAAGAGAGCGTCCAAGGAGTGAAGAGAGAAGAAACTGTAGGCGATCCTGAAAATGGGCCTCCTGATACGGATAATTCTGGAGGACCGCCGCCTCCTCCCAGACATCAGCAAGAGAGAACCGAACCCCCGACCAATGCAGAGTCTGCTTCTACCGCGCCTGTCCCCACATCGGATGTCACACACCTCACCAGACTGAACGATACACAACCACTACCTCTGCACAACAGCACGGAAAGAACCTCCCCGATGCCTGCCAGAAGACTGAAAAAACGAAAACACACGACCGAGGAAGATGAGGAAAGAGATGAGGAGAGACGAAAGTCCTCGTCCAACCCAGGCGCAGCTATATCACCAGCAGAACGGGACATGACCAAAAATAACTTAGCAATACCCGAAGGCACGACAGATGCCACCTCTGTGAGGGATTTAGAAAACGCTATGTCAAAGCATCTGCCGTCTGTGGCGTTGGACGGCAAGGAGATATCCCATCGACCGACTGACTTCTCTACTGATGCTTTGCTGAAACAGCAGCAGCAGAAATCTACGATTCAATGGATCGGCACTCAGAACCATCACTTGAATCATTTAAATAGACAAATACAAGGAAACCACACGTCGACGCCGGCGTCTGCTTTATTGAGGCAACTGTATGCGAATAGAGAGAGCGTTATCAGAAGCAACTTCCTCGGGGATGGTCGAACTGGCGGCTACTACTCCAGCGATGGTCAGAGCGGGCCCTTACCAACTCCTCCAGGAAGCGAGGGTTCCAGTTACGGCGAGCAGTTAGGTCATAAAGGCACGGATATAGGTTCTTTAGCTTACGGTGGTTACGCGGACTACCATTCCGCGATGACGCCGCCAGGTTCTGTGTCTCCTAGAGATAAGCAGCAGTATACTTTGTCGTACGATAACAGTGCTTATTCTGAGGCTTTAAGGCACTCGTATTTAGGTGAGGCGCCGTTGCCGTTGAAGCCCCAGGCGTATTCTGCGGTCCCGGGGGCTTTGGACTACGCGTCTCCTTTGGACCAGTCCCAGTTTTTCCATCCACCTTCTTCGTTCCATTTGTATCACCCCCAAGCGCATACTGCGCACGCGACCCATTCCCATCAGCCCGTAGACAAATCCGCGCCTCCTAATACCAACTGGTACTCGGCCGGGTCATAGCCATATTTACGATAGCCCGAATCATTAGGTCATAGAATCAACGTGCTCATTTGGGAGTATTGTACTGTTTCTGTTCAATTGGTTAACATTTGTGTTGTTAAGTTTCGTATTTTTGTTAAAGTTAGAATGTTTGTTCAAGTGTTATTTTTACACAAAGTTAGATAATTTTCGAATGGTAAATTGTAAATATTGATCGATTTATAACTGGCGAAAATTTCACGAAATTGTATACGGACAAAAAGACTTAGTATGAAGTTAAATACTCAGAAGAAATAATTTCGATGGTGTAACTATGACTTTTTAAGCCAATGTTGGATATTACTGTTAATTATGTGCCAAATCCAGGTGCTTACGGCTCTCGACAGATGCATTTGAATTTAGCTATATGAAAGAAAAACATACATTCCTTATTGTGTAGCATAAGTGTTACTTATAACTTGGTTAAAATTACAGAAAAGCCCAAATATCTATTAAAATCTGGGTCTGAAATAAACATGCCATTTTCATTAACACACCATAAATCTGTATTAATTTTTATATGACTATACTATTTAGCTAAATTTTAGCCTGAAATAGCAAGAATGACAAAAAAACTGCTAATTTACTGAATGTAGCCGATATTTTTAAACAAAAGCTCTTAATTTTGGAGTTGTAGATGGTTTTAAAATGGCCGTCTGGGTCAACGATTCAGTGATTTTTTCGTGTCTACTAAGGTACGAGTAAACCAAATAAGTATTAATAAAAGCAAGGCCATAAATTGACTAATCTGTTATAACCAGTGGGCTACTATAGCTTATTGCATATCATTTTAATGTAAGCTTCTGTAAATTATTGTACCATACTTAGTATACACGACTGTACTTAGGTATTAGCTATACATTCCAATGTGTAAATTGTAGTTTTAAGTACTGTATCTATATTATTTCCTAGAAATAAGATTTCATGTAAATAATGCATTATTTAGGTATATTATTATTTATAACGTCGCTCAAAGACTAGTTTCAGCTGAATCTTACTGAAAATCATCTGATTGTTATTGCAGCAATCTGAAATACTACTGAATAGTGAATCTATAGCATTTAATTACTTTAACGGTCGATAATCACAGATATTCCATAATAACTGTTTATTTTATAACTCATGTTAAATCATGACAGTCTACGACAAAATACTCAATTCAAACTGATTTTCTTATGTATTAGTTCAAGCCAAATGCAATATAAAATACGTGTTTATTTTCTTATAACTTGTATGTAATTTTTATAAATCGATTAGGTATTAATTCAATAATATTATATTGGTAATATTTATGCTACTTTCTCTGTGCAATACGAGTGAAAAATGTTGTTCATTTCAATTTTATAGGCTTCGTTAAACTTAAAGTAAGGTATCATTAAAATTGTAATTATCATAATAAAATTGGGAATAGGCTTTCGATGCAATTATCTGTTATGTTTTTCCAGTGTTTCTTTAAACGAACTTCATTCCATGTATTATTATTATTTTAGTTGATATATTGAACAAAAAACTTAAAGATTTTTATTTCTCTGATTAAATGACTAAGAATTTTTGATTCGTTTGTTTCATTTGAAAATACCAAACACTTTTGTTAAACAAATTCATTTTATTGATTGGTGTCGATTTACCTTAATTACTAACACAGATGCGTTGTTAACTTATTAATAAGACAAAGAATATAAATGCAAAGTAAAAATAATAAATACACGATTCACACATGAGATTCTTCAAAAGTCAAAATAAAGCTTTTTGATTGGACGGATCATTACATAAGATGTAAAAATATCATAAATTCCGATTAAAATATTTCATTTACTACTTAGATAGTTACAAATTTTAATAAAAGTAGTCAAAATTAAAAGGTTGTAATAAGTAAAATAATTAAAATTGTAATACATAAAGTTACCTATTACTAACACTAAAAATAATATGTCAGATAAAACATATCATATCTTTTTGTAGTCTAGAAGTTTCTTTGATTATTTGGACATGGATTTAATACATAATATCAGTATATTCTATCTACACAAATACAAAAATCTACATCAGGCACTTTTAAAAGTGTTTACTTAACTATACTACTTAGTTAAGGCACTATTACTACATTACTACTTATACAAGACACACACGCCCGTATTCACAAACATTACTATGAGGTCGCACAGTGCGCGTGAACGCACAGGGTGACACACGAATAAATCTCAGAGCTCTATTCTACGCTGTGCGTTCGATTTGCTGATTCACTTAAGCAAGCATCGTTTGTGAATACGGGCGGTAGAGTCCAATGGTAGAATTAATTGTTTTGATACAAATTAAGTCTTAGTGTTCTTAACGTAGTTTGTGGCTGGAAATTACACGATAAGAGTAGGCGCATACCGTTGATTTTTCGTCGGCCGATAGATTAGTCGGGCAGTTGATCAGTATGGGCATGTATGGGAGTGCGCACACAACGCCGATTCGATTTGGCCGATTCTTCATACAAATTAAAATCGGGCACAACTATCGGCTAACTAAAAATCAACGGTGTGCGCCTAGAGTAGGCGCTACTTAATTAATAATATTTTTTACCTCAGTCCGTTTTTAATACTCCACTAATATCTCAATATTTGGCGATTGCATCTCCAGGATTATTTGATATTGTGAGAACACACACAACCAGCAATAGATCTGTGAAAGAAAGAAAATAATGCTAGTATGTAAATAGATTAAACAAAGATAGTGACTATACTTATTTCAAAAAGTGTATGAGAGAATCAAGTAAGCAGATTGAATTTTTACAATACTGAAGTGGATCACAGTAATATTTTTAAAGATTAACTTGTAAGTCATAATGACGCTGAAAAACGTGAAAGGCTTTCACTCAATATAAAAAGTTACTAAATCTTCAGGTACTTACATTGTAGGCCATCCATATGAAGTCAATAAATGCAGCAAACGTGGCATCCAACTGAAATGAGAAATATCAATATTGAAATAAAACATTAATTACATTTGTACTTCTCATGAAAATAACAATAAACAAGAAAAGTTTTAGATATAAAATACTAATAGGTAACTTTCATGGGCTAACTGGGCAGGCCTCCCACTAGGTGGACTGACGATCTGGTTAAGGTTGCGGGAGGTGCCTGGATGCGAACGGCGCAGGACCGGTCTTTGTGGAAATCCTTGGGGGCTTGGGAAAGCCTTTGTTGAGCAGTGGACGTCTTCAGTTGAAACGAACGAACGAAAGGTAACTTTCGCTTCTAATATAACCTTAACTGAAAAAACATTTAGCATTAGTCTATAAAAATTAGTTCAAAATATCTATATCATTTATTTTATTTTGGTTTATTCAACAAAATAGAGAACTTACATAAATGTAATATCCACCAATAAGCCACAGCCCAAAGATGAACTGGAAGACGATGATCAAACCAACGGTGATCAACCAGGGCAGCAGGAGACCTCTCATCCAAATGTTTATGCCGATGACCTGTAATGAGATGAAAAAATAATAAAAAGGTATTTATCAAAAAAGGTATTACATGCATGAGTTCATAAAACTAGATCTATACAAATAAATTAATTTCTGTAATGATATTACAAAAGATAATGAATCTGAAATGTAATGGAATTTATTATTTTTGTCCTTACTATAGTCTTTTTCACCTAAGATGATCCGTATGACGTTTCGAGTTTGAAAGATTTAGAGATGTCACATAACTAAACCATAGCGATTTATCTATCGATTTTTTTCGAAGAGTTAGTAAAACCTACTTTTAGAGAAATATTTTGTATAGGTGTTATTTAACAAAAAACATATTTTTTTAATTACAAATATTATTGTAACACATTTTTATTGATAATATTCAAATTTCATGCTTCGTGTTCAAAAAAACGATTCCTAAAAAGTACTGGTTCTGTTTCTTTAAATTAAAAACTATTAATTTATTTTCAATGCGTTTATTAAAGTCAATAATCGAAAAATATAGTTGATTTTTGTGATGTTTTTAATAACTAAGTATTCACTGCAATCGATTAATGAACTGCGGAAATAATCGATTTTATTATACAAGAAATACCCCAGCACTAAATCTATTCCGTTTCACACATTGCGTACATTAAATAAAAAATATTTTTACATCGTATTTAATTAAAATATAATCAATAGACTCAGATTTTACTATATATTTCAAGACAAGTAGTTATTTTTTTTTATTATACTGCTAATAAAATACAAATATTTTTTCAAAAATATTCTGCATATGTAGTATGCGTAATATGGATAACCTTGAAGTGTCATACGGATCATCTTACGTGAAAAAGACTATAGGTGATTTTTAATAAAATTATACATAAATTGTAAATTACAAAATAAGAACCTGTGTCAACATCTTATTTAGGTACATTACAACCAATTAGATCCCAAAACTGTCCTAATCAGTGTATGTTACATTCTGAATCAAATAAACTCTATCTAATTTATTACATTCAGCAACTGTATATAAACTGTACTCACCATCAGGACAGAAAAGAAAATCAAGAAGGTAAAGATGATAATGAAGATGATGCCAAATATGAACAGCGCTGAAACAATAAAAAACAAATTGAGGCGGAATAATAATGACCTAAGTTTATTTCTGATGATAATAATGAATAATAATAAATTGTACAACTTTAATCACTATAGCTTCTATTGAGAGCTAGGTCCTAGAAGCCCTGACTTTATTATGGGTGGTTTTAGTTACAGGGATTCTATTCACATACATAACATAAACTGCTGGACAATGGTGGAAAGATAGTCAATTCTTAAGTAATTTTAACTTTTTTAGCTATGGTACGAGGATACTTTTACACCAAATAAGCTGTTGTCTTGTAAGAAATCTCATTTTATCATTGTGAATGACATTATTCACAATAAATTCCTTTGGTGGACTTCAAACTTACATGATCGAACATCAGCTTCAAACAACGGGTTCCACAGCTGCGTGGAGTCTCCACCATCCATCTGATACGCTATAAACGTAATAAGTATGACGCTCATAGCTGCCGTATACACAGCCACCGCTCTGCTCCCAGATTTTACATCCGAAGACCAAATGCATGGCGACCAGCAGGATTCTAACACTGGCATTGTTAATTACTTGTGTTCAGCAACTTATATACAGTTGAAATGGACCTGAAATTAGTTCAAAACAGTAAAGTTAGCCACACCTACTTTTAGTAACTAGGTTATTGCAATTATTCTGAGTGAAACACTAGTTGTGGGGTTTTTGGAAGATCAGGAATAGGAGAAATAGAATTAATTTGATTGATTATTTACCTAAATTTCAATATAAATTAGCGCACTTTCAACATTAATTCAAAAGTAAAGTTAACTTTTTGTTGTTGAATATTGACAGAAAGTGGCGTTGGCGGCTTGGATTTGATTGTCAATGTGACATTGTTTTTTTTTTTATTTTTTTTAACATCGAGGAAGAAATGGAGATGCTGATGATGATATTATATTCACTCTTTAAAACTACTTTGGCAAGGTAACTATAATAATCAAAGACCTTTCATAGCACCTTAGAAAGATAGCATTCATTGGCTTCTTGAGACTTTTACATCCCAAAAACGCTGTATAATCACTTCTTCAATGCGATATCATGGTCGTGGTCACAAACCCGTAAAAGGGCTTCTCCACTGATCAGAGCAGATCAATCGTGCTCAAAGTATTCTAGAATAAAATTGGCTCAATATACAGTGTGCTAGTGCTGTAACCTTAGTTATTCTACTGGTTGCTAGATGGCGCTACGCTATAGCATTAAGTTTAACTACTCGACGATAGATGGCGCTAACTGGCAGCTCATATAAATGTTCCGTCTCACGTCCTTAGTTAGATAAATCTAAAAGCTCACAATATTATCCCATCATCATCACAAGCTCCATGATAATTCAAAAGTGTATTAGCATTGTTAAATCTGTCTTCAAAAAAACAGATGTAGCTCGGTAAGTCCTGAATATTATTAAAAATACTAAGATAAAGGCATGAAAACTTTTCTTTTTCACCTTGTAAGTAGGACTTTTATACTCATTACCGACCATGAAATGTTCATATTACCTACCTTACCCACATCTAATAGGTAAGTGTGTTCATTAAAACTGTGTTTTCGCTTTTGTTTACTTAATTCATAACTTGATTGCTGTGATGATATTTATGCTATTTTAATTTTGTAGACTAAATAATTGCATGTGCAAAGTCTAAACTAAGTCTATCTTTCTCATGTGCCATCAAAACCGAGCTTTTCATAGGTGGGCCATTCTTATTCTTATGTATTTTTGTGTGAGATGTAAGAATAGCATATGTTTTTAAAGAAAATCAGTGCACTGTATATTAATTTACTTAGTAAAATACCTCTATTAACTAGGCCCAATATCATTTTTATCATAAAACTATTAGAAGAATATTAAAAAAAAGTTACAAGTCCAAAATGTCACGGACCGTGTAGTGTGAGATTCCCGGATTTGGACATACAATATTTTTTTCTGAAGAGATGTTATGTTATTTTGATAAATATTACAGTAATTATGCAAGATTAATACATGTTATATAAGACTGTTAAAAATTTATATCAATAATAATTACCGTTTTTGATTTTGAACACCAAACATTGTGTGAGCAGTTTTTGTGTCACAACCACGTGCGCCACTTTAAATATGCGTAACTCGGTAAAAAACTATCTTTGATATTGACATCTCTTGCTAAGTTTTTTTAGAACAGTAACATTGTCATCTTATTAGATTTGCAAATGGCTGAACGTAGTGAGTGAGCCGCAAAAAAATATTTCCTATTTATTTGAAAAAAGGGACAACCATAACACGTCCATCCCGTGTACGGTTTTTAAAGGTAGGTATCAATGCCACGCTATTGTATAAAACATAATTATGTACCTCATGCAGTATAGTTTCAGATAATTGCACAAGATCTGCTAATTCACAGATAGTTTTTTGGATATATCGGACACGTTCCAAATTGTCACGGCCATGGTATTAAAAATGTGTCACTACCGCAAACTATTTAAGTACATGGTCGTGACATTACAACGCGTGGTTGTGACATTCTATTTTTATTATTTTAATAGTTTTTGTTGTTCTGCTAAATTATTTTGTGTATTGTGCAATTTTTAGGAGTAGCCTTTTAGTAAGTGTACTTATTTTTCGCTAGTATGATTTTCTAGATGCCACGAAGGAAAAATTATTGCACTTTCTCATTTCTGCAGTAATATCAAATTTTACTGAGACAGCTCCCGGTTAAGGCCCTGCAGAGGTGGTCGGAGTTGTTTTAAAAGGAATTGCTATTAACCATATTTTTAGTGGTACGGTGACTATGAAACATGTTTAAGTTGTCAAAACCAACTGTTATGTGAATCCTACAGAAATCTCATTTGATACTCAATAAGGTACCTACTGTGTTTAAGATTTGCTAATTTGTTAAGCATATTATCATATCGAAACCATGTAGGTAGCATATCGGAAGCATGATCAGATAGTGCCAATAATAAAAAGTCTATTTTTTTATTATCTAGTAGTTATATTAACTACCTGACGGTATTTTTGATCTCAATTTTAATTAAATTTTTGGATGTTCAGAAAAAAGTACATATTACCAAATAACACCTTTGTTGATGAAACGAATTTAGTGTATTTTATTGTTAATCAATTTAAACTATTATGATATAAATTGAACAACATAAATATTATTATTTACAGTAAAAATGTAAAACTGTCACATCCGTGTCATGCAGTGTCACAGCCGTGTTTACGTAGGCTATTTTGTTTCTTTTCCGAGGGCTTTAAGGTTGTCCATATACATCAAAAGTATGCTTTTGGTTTATACTTTCGATACACATCGCAAAAAGTTAAAAAAAAAAATCTTTAATTTTTAAAAAAAAATTGGCACAAATTTAAGAATGGCCCAGGTGGGTATTTCGCCAAAAATGGTAAATTTTGCCTAATTTCCTTGGTACGAAATATATTTTTGTTTTTAACTATTTTTAGTTTTCTATTGTATTAAGTAACAAAAACTAAGCTAATATATCTATAAGGGGTGTCATAATTCGTTTTAGAAACAAAGTTATAAGGTCATGAATTTTTGGTAGCCAAGGAAATTATTATAAATATTTTTTTCTCTAAGTTTTCTTCTGTGGTTTGCTTTTTTTTTGTTCGACCCATTTTTGTGTACCTTCGCAAGCAAACATACCAATGAATATTGTATCATTACGACCTTTTTACACAACTAAGGAAGATAAATTCAGTAGATTGAGTTAAGAGTTAAAAACAAGTTGTTCTATATCTATTCTGATACCCATTTCTTACAATGTAAATTTTAAACTTATTCCAATAAAGAATTACTCAAAATTTGACTTTGCGCCGAATTAAAAATGGTCTTTTATAATTTCCTAGGCCTTTTTATGCCACGGAAAACAAGGAAATTAGGGCCAAAGAAATTAGATTTATGCCTAAAAGACACCACAGACAAAAACCTATTTACCCTATGCATTTACTATTTAAATCATGGGTTTACCCCTACAAACACTACATCTGTGTAAATGAAGAATAAAATTAATCCATTGTTTAGCTGCAAAAAACCGTCCAAAGAAATTGACTTTTTAGAAAACAAAAACCCAAGGAGGGACCTACTTATGCGATTTGTCGCGAAACTGATCGACGAAGTACTGTCCTGCCTCGATAGCCTCTTGGGACGAAATGGCCGAGTGTAACGGTGCAGTGCATTACGTTCTAAGTTCTTTCGTTTCGTTAATAAGTACAATGGTCGAAAAGAAGACCCAGAGAAATTATAGTACTTTTGACTCGGACAAGAACTTAACTTCACTTTATTTCCTTCCTTTAAGTAGGTATTTGACATTTAAAGTTTTTATTTTCCGATAGCCAAACGTTTCTCAAATATAAAGAGAGTGCTATTAGAATGAAATTACGCTTCAATTTGTTATAATGTGCCTTCATTTTGGCAAACAACAGTAATGGACATAACAAGGAAATTAGAAAAACGACTTTTGATTAAGTTTTTCTACTGTATTATTTGTAATTTCTGCTATTGTAATAGCAAAAACAAATAAAACTTTTGATTAACTTTCCCATAAAAATAGTTTTATACATATAAATATAAAAAAACATGTGTTCGCCTGCCTGGACACAGAAAATTTACTGTTTCGGCGAAATACCCAGGTATTGAAATTGTGAGCAAAACACGTGTTGCCTTTGCCACTCACGACTCATCTCATTTTGGGGTTTCTTCGTACCTATTTAAGGTTTGTTCCTACCACCGCGTGTCAACGTGACTAACGACTAACGAGACAGACGTTGTCGCGTCGTGACCAGCAGGTCTACTACGAAAAACCAACAACAAATAACTAAGTAATCCTAAAAAGCAAAACGATAAGGATATTAAGGCTTTCGTGCAATAACCTTCAAAATACGAAACAAATTACGTTAAAATACGAAACACCATCTGTCAGTTAGTGTTTTCGTGGTAGGTAGCACTTTTCGGAGGGAACGTCAAAATACGTCATAGAACGGACTTCGTTACCGATTTCGGATCCGAACCGTTTCATAGTAAGCAATTTCGGATTCGATTGTAGTTTTGACGGATTTCGTTTTTCGTAGTAAGGGGGCGTCCATAAATTACGTGAGACAATTTTGGCTATTTTTCAACCCCCCCGCCCCCCTTGGTGAGATTTGGTGAGATTTTGCCTGACCCCCTCCCCCACCCCCAAATCTCACGTGATATTAAAAAAATCCGAAATTTAATAATTTTGAAGTAATATAACTGAGAAACATTTTTTTTGTGTGCTTTAACGTTGTCGCTAACGAGTGCATCAAAAAGATCTATAAAGTTAAAGATTTTANTGATAACGACGGACAACTACGGAAACTTTTAACCCAGTTTTCTGGCAAACTCTATTTCTCTATTTCTTATGGAAAAAAATACGTGATATTTCCCGAGACCCCCCCTCTCCCCCACGTGAGATTTGGTGAGGTTTTTGTTGACCCCCTCCCTCCCCTAAAAGCCTCACGTAATTTATGGACGCCCCCTAAGTAGGTAGGTACCTACCTACTAAGTAGGCCTGCTGATTACCCGTTGCGACAGGAAGCTTAAAGCATGACGGAGCTTTGACCACCGTTAAATTGGTAAAACTTATTCCTGCTAATAAATCAATCAAAAAAACACTGAATTTATAAGTAAGTAGGTATGTAGTATATCTAGTCGCATCAATCAACTTCTTCGCAAAAAATTACAGACAAGCTTTAGTCTGTGTGGTATAGAACAAGTAAGGCGCAGGAACTTTTTGTACCTTCCTATTTACATATTACAATTATACACATATTTTTTGCGATACTATGTAACTAGGGTAAGTGCGTTA